CCACGCGGGAGGCGGCGCGGCCCGGCTTCAGCCTGGCCCTGGCGCAGGTGGGTGGCCGGCGCTGGAGGCCCGGGACGGGGAGCGCTGGGAGGTGAGCGGGGGCCTCTAGGAGGTTGACCCGCTGTCTCGCCTCCCTCCTTCCTGCCCAGGTCTTGCAGGCGATGGAGGAAATCCCCCTGGGCTCTGTGCTGGAGCTGATCCGAGAAAAACACAGTTTGGACAGAGTTAAAAAGGTGAGTCCCCCGCTGTTTTCCTGTGAGAAACTGTTGTCCTCGGGGAGGCCGCCTCGGAGATAGATGGCGACGGTGTTTTGAATGGTTTTGAGCCTGTTGGCATGAATGCCGCGCGCCCCCAGAGGCGATGGTGGTGGTGGACGCAAGTGGGGACCTGCCGCGGCACTGTCAGCAATTTGCTGCTGCACTTGGAGTTGCTCCGGTTGAGTGTGAAATGTCGCTATTTTTGCATGTGCAGCTGTCAGGCTTGTTGTCTTCTTTTCAGAAACTCTTAAGAAATGCTGCCTTTGGAAACTTTTTTGGGGTTCTGGCCCTGTTCCAGTCAGGCCGTCTTATAAAGGTAACGTTACTCTCATGTTGACAGAGGAACTGATGCTGTGCAAAGTGCAAAAGAAAACCCAAAGTGGACAGATAGCCTGTGCTTTAGTCCAGCGGTCTGGGTTTAGTTCTTTTCCTTGGTTAACCGTGGCCTCTTGGGTAACCTGAAACAGGTAGCTTAGGGCAAGATTTTTAGAAGTGTTTAGCTGCCCGATTTCTATATATTTTAATGGGAATTAGGGGGTCCAAACCACTTATAAGAATCTCGGCTTTATTCTTGGCGTGTCTATTCCTAATCTGAAGAAGGAGATAATAAATATTGCTCTCTCACAGAGGTTTTAAGGAGGATTAGTGCCTGAAAGGCTGCCAAGAAGTTTGATGCTGTGGAAATTAGGATCACCTAAAACAGATAGTGGGTACAGAGAGCTGAAATCACAGGTTTTGTGCTTCCACATTATTTTGCATTTCTCTTATCTCGGAATCAGAAGTGGCCAGGTATTCAGGAGAAGCTGTTGGGAATAGCCCTTTTAGAGGGAAGCAATCCAATCCAAACATCCTTTGGTAGTAAACTTGGGTGAACGGGGATGGGAGAGTAAAGATGCATTCAGGTTCGGTGACAGGAATAAGAGAGAACAGTCATAGACAGGACGGAGAAGCTGAAACCTGTTCCTTTCTCGTGGCATGGCCATACCTTGTCAGTCACAGATGGGAAATGGTGCTTCAGAAAAAGAGTGGATGCGTAGCTCGGGGAGCAGGTGAAATGTTGTATTATTATTAAAACCAGCAGACTCAGAGCAGATGGTTACCTGGGCTTAGCTGTAGCCTCACTACATAGCTTTTTGTCTCTGTTTTTCTCTCTTTTTATTTTTTAACTGCTAGGACCAGGAGACACTCCTGCATTGTGTCCAGCTTCTGCAGAGCCTGTCACAGCGCCCAGAGTACCTCCGAAATCTGCCTAGGCAAGCTCTTGTTGACATCCTCTCGGAGGTAATGGAGATGTGGCACATCAGTTAGGGAGTTTTTTTTTTTTTTGTTTGTGGCATTACCTTATCTAGGTGTAGTTCTAGGGGGGGGAAGAATAAAGCTGGTACCAGTAGACCTGCACCTGTTTTGAAGATAGTTATTATGCTATAATTGTTTTGGTAAAATCTGTGGTTACATGTAGATCAGCAGTTCCCAACCTCAGTTTGCAACCCACATGGGGGTTGCCGGGGCAGTGCTGCACACAAAGGACAAGTTGCGCCGCATGCTGGGAGCTCCCCGGGCTGCCGCCGCACTCTGCTTCCAGCAGCGGGTCGTGGGGGAAGGCTGGGAACCACTGGTGTAGATATTTCTTCTATTCTGTAGCTACGTACAAACCAGGCCTCACTTCCTGTGTTGCTGTTCAGACCCCTCAGGCTGTGTTTGAGGAGGTCCTGTTCAGCACTTTACAGGCTGACCTCACTTCAGCCTTCAGTTCCCCGGAGCAGCTGCACCTCTTGCTTGTGGCCATACAGAAGTTCCCCGAAGTTCTTCAGCCCAAGAAACTGAAGAAACTGCTGGGCTCGTCCACCCTTGTAAACCCGGAAAACATTCCCAAGTGAGTTGTTGTAGAAGGGCGCAAAGATGCCATATCCCCATCCTTTCCACTTTAAGTGGGAAATGTTCAGGTGTTGACATGAAGGGGTGCAGGAACACCTGTGTTTTCTGTTGAATCTAGTGGGAGACAAGGGTGTTTGGAGTTAGTCCATCTCCAGTATGGCTGGGGGTGCTGATGCCACATTTTCAGCCACTGTTCATCTTGGGAGGCACTTGCCATGTACAATTTGTCCAGGTTCAGTGCTGGTCCTCGTCTGCTCCAGAAGGTAGTTTCATGGGTGGAATGGATCTTCAGCGATCTCCTTCTGGGATTGATGATTCTGATTTTCTGTCCTCTTGCAATTTTCCCTCCCCCCCCGCCCAGGCTTGTAGCAGTTCTGAAGACTGCTGCCAGATCTGAGAAGAAGGACAAGAATCTGCCAAGTGTAGGGCTGGATCTGCTGCATGTTTCTCTGAAGGAAGGTGCCTTTGACCTGTTCTGGAAAGAAGCTGTGGAGAATGGGTTGCTTAAAGAAAAATTGGGACCAAACAGGTTTGCTCTTGAATGCTCCAGTCATGTTTTTTTTCCTGCTCCCCACCCCAGGCATGCTTTGCTGTTTTCTGCAACCAAAGCTGGACATAAAACCCCAGACTCTCATGGAGAATTGCCTCCCTCTTCTTTTTACCAAATGTAATTGTTCCAAACTGAAGAGGCAACTCTGCTGCAACCTAAGAAATAACACTTAAGCACTGTATGGTTTCTTGTTCAGCTGGGACAAGATAGTATATGATGGGGTATAGTTTTGGCTTCTTGCATGTTCGTAATTCTTATACGTGGTATGAACACAGTTTTTTTTATAGTAGTAGGATTCCAGCTAGAGAGATCGTTTTTATGCCTCTTTTCAGCCAAAGGAATAACTAAGGGTGCAGTTGTACATGTATAAAGATGCCTTAAAGCTGTAAGCTATTTCTGTTTGGGGAAACAAATCAACTGTGCTACCATAAAGGTATTTGCAGTAGGAAGGAACTGGTTTCACATCAAACCAACATAGTTTAAATGATGCAAATCTTGTGTGTAGACAACATCTCAAAAGCAGTGGTCCCTAACCTTGGCTCACAGGTAACAATACTGAACAGCAGTGTGATGTAGGCTCCCTATATTCTTTTCCTGACAATTTCAGGTTTTTACATTTTTAAGTTTCTCAGGCCACAAAGATGATGAGGATCTTGTGGGCTCTGGGAGAGGGGCTTGAGGATAAGAATACAGCATAAAACAGCTTGCAACTCTTAACGAAAAAAAAAATCATCACGTTGATAACATTGGTTGGAGATGGCACAGAATCAGGAAATTGTGTCCCAGGCCTTTTTGAATTTGTCCTTTCATGAGGGCAGGTGGAGGGATTTGAATTAGATTTAGGGGTTTGATTACACCCAAAGCCAAAGAGGTGTCAGAGCCAAACATTTGTTGGTTTCTAATTATAGTGTGGTTGAGGTCACTAGAATATGTTGGGTTTTTTTGTTTTTTTTATTATTAGAGACCAGAAAAATTGCAAGAACAGATGTGAACTGTGTCAAAACTGCTAATTTTGCTCTTCAATCTGAATCATGATTTTGTCACAAACTTGTGACCAGAAACCCAAATCCAGAGATGAACCTCTTTGACCCGTCTCTAAGGGATTTTGGTTTGTTTACCATGTCAAAGTTACAGAGGGACAAGGAAACCAGTTTCTAAACAGGAGCTGTCCAAATCTTGTGGTGTATATGCATCCCACTTCAGCATGTGGCCTGAGTGTGTCTGTGATAGAGGGCACCTCCCGGGGCCTGGTCACCATACTGGCCCACCTACCTGTCTAGGGCAATCTGCCTGCCCTGCTCCCTTAAGCAACCATGTAGACCACTCTCACTCCTCGGCTGGCTGGCAGGCAGCCTCTTGTGACCCTCATCTGAATGGTGACCAGCCAATTCGCCTTGCCCACATGGGGCTCAGGGGTTTCTCGCCAAGTATACCCGTCTCCCACTACTCACGCTGGGCTCAGGTGCCTCTCCTTAAGCATACCTGGCCCCACTACCCTCTAGTCTTAACAACCCACCAGATGGTGGGGGCTGGGGTTATCAGGTGCCCCTACCCACCTTTCACTAGGGAGGTAACTGGCCTGGCATTTCTGGGGGACTGTCCAGCCACAGACAGCCCCACCAGACCACCCTTCCCCAGTAGGGTGGAGTTTCTGGTCATGCCCAGGACCAACACAGGCCTACCTGCCCTGGTCTAGTTCCCCTTCTACGGCTCCTGGGTGATATATTTAGGGTCTCTCTCTCCGCCCCTGGGCCTGGCTCTCACTGACCCCCATTCAGATACCTCCCATCCAGAGACTGTATTGCAGCCTCCTTCATACCAGCCTGCATACTGGCTGACCCCTGCCCTCTTTGGCAGTGATGTCCCCCCTCTATCAAAGGGACCTTCAGCCCTTATAGGCTGTGGTCCCACCTCCAGGCCAGTTGGTGTGCCGGATAGCTCACTGTGGCCCTGGCCTGTCCCTTGCATTGGGCTTAATTGCCCTTCAGCCTTCAGGTCCTGGCCCTCTTGCCTTGACCAGCATGAGGGATCAGAAAGTCAACCTGGCAGCTGCTGACCCCCGTGCTCCTAAGGTGTCCCTCCTGGGCCCCACCATAGAGCCCTCACCCTAATCTGGGTTGGCCCCCCACAATGCTGTCTGAGGCTTAGCCCAACTGGGCTCACCTGAGTCCCTGGCTTCACCCCCTGCCCGATCCACTCAGTGGTTTGCCTGGCCCCTTTGTAGGCCTACAAGCTGTAGCCCCATGCCTAGGCTGGGCCTTGTTCTTGCTAGGTCATGGCCTTCTTCCTGGGGCTCAGGACCCCACCAGGCCCGTAGCAGCTCCTGCCTTCCCTGTAGTTCCTCCCTTACCTCCACGCTGTTCCAGGAGCAGCAGCTCAGCCAGGTGTTGTTGCTCCAGTTGCTGGCAGTAGACTGCTCCCTTAACCCTGTGGGCCGGAGCTAAAATAGAGGTTGCTCGGCCCTCTCCCCCAATCACATGGCCTGGCTTGCAGCCATGTGACCTTCTCATCAAGGCTGGCCAGCACCTGCCAGTTGCCCTGCTGTCTGCTCTTGCGTTTAAAGTGGCAGGCACCCAAAGGTGCTCTGCCACACCGCTTCCCCGTTAAAACAGCTGTCACGGGGGGTGTCTCCCTGGTGCTTACCATGCAGACTCCTCTGTAGCCTGCAGCCACCCACTAAGTGGCGAGCACCCCAATGGTGCTCTGCCAAGGTGTCCTTGTATTCTTGATTGGGGTCCACTTCATTGCATGCTCCACGTGGCCTGAGCAAGTGCTTTTCTCTCTGTCCTGTCCATGTGTGCTGGTACAGCTGTGTCCTTCCCTGAAGGAGTGTGTTTGTTTCCACTCAGTTACATGTGCTACCGCTTGCTGGGCAGTGCTCTCCCACTCTTGTCTCTGGACCAGCTACAGACGGTTCTCCGAGGAGAAGTGATGCAGAGCTATGGTGACCATGTGGTGTCGGCTCAGGTAGGCACCCCCCTGAGAAAATGGGGCAACGTGCTGGGAACCTCACATTCGAGGTTGCATCCTACTTTAAGTAAACAGCCATTTTCAAGGATACCTTCGTGAAAGCACTGGCTGACAGCATTTTTTTCCTGCTAACTTTAATACTGCTGTGCAAATACACACATGTGGGGGCTTTGAAACAGTCTGGCTGGTTCTAACTCAATTGCTTGCTTAAAACACCAGAAAACAGACACCCACTTAAGGTATAGTCTTGCCTAACACTCCTAGTTACATAAGAAGGACCTGTACGGGGCACTTCTACTGCAAGAAGGCAGAATAGTTGTTTTTGCAATTGGAAAGCTGGGCTGTGTATCAGCCGATGTGCATTTTAACCTACCAGGATTATTTTATCCTTCCTACTTGGGCTGTGTCTAGCTTGATATTAGGGTTTGGAGACATCTAAGTTTAGTGCGAGATGGAGCTTGCGAGGCTTTATGGTTGGTAAATAGTATGTCAGGCCAGTATGGAGATGGCCTATCAAGGAGCTTGTGAGACGGAGGAGTAGGGAGAACAGTAGAGCATCCACCATGGTGATTTTTCAGATCTGTTGCTTCAGTGTGCTGAGGGCAATCAGGTTTTGAATGAATGTGACTGTGTCCTGTCTCCGTTCACTGTATGGTCCATAACTGTGTTTCAGCTTCCAGACCGGTTTAGGTTTGCTCCGGAGATGGAAGCCTATGTTGACACGTTCTTCCGGGACTGCGATGACCCAGAGAAGCAGTTTGCAGTGTTGGTTGGTTTCTCTGCCCTTACCAATCAAGGCTGCCCAGTGGTCCAGAGCTTTTGGAAGGTGGTAAAATACCTTCAGCCTGTGGCATTGGTGAAGTACTTCAGCTGGCTCAAGAACATGTTCCTCAAGCCAGACTTCAGCTGCTGTTTAGATTTCACGACTAGCCGGCAAAAGCAGAACCAGGAGATCGCAAACCTGTGAGTGTACATACAGTATAGCCTTCCCCTTTCTATATGATCTGTGTTGCATTTCCGCCTGTGTTAAACTTGGTGGGATTGTGAGGTGTCACCCAGTTGGCCTCAGCAGCTGTAAGTACCAAGGTCTCTAACTGTGGAGGGATGCCAAACACTCCCAAAAATCTCTTCAAAGCTATATTATAAAATCTAACTCACCAAGGAGTGCAAACAAAATTATTCCCCTGGCCAAAGCTGGCTGGAGGCTTTCCCTTGCCCTGTCCCTTTCTGTGAGGCTAGCTAGAAGAGTAGTCCTGCTTCCTATTGCTCTCCTCTTCAGGTGAGCTGTTTCATAGTAATTGCTGGACCTTTTCCCCAGTGCTCTCTGCTTATTAAATAGGGCTAAAGGGCTCTGGACCATAAAAGGAGCAGGTCAGCCTGTTAGAGTTGTCTTTGCAACATACTCTCTATTACCTTTTATACTTACAGAGGTGCTTGTAATTCTCTGTTTGCAGGAGAATGTCCCAAGAAAATCCAGGCTGCTGGTATCTCAATAGGATCCCCCCCCGCTCCCATTTTCTTGGTCACTACCACGCTGGCATCCCAGCAGTCTGCCATTGGGCGCTGTGCTACTCAAAGCACTTGTTTTCAGTGAGATGGAAGAGGCTGGCCCTGAGCGATGTGGCATTTTTGCAAGTTAATGTGCTAACCCTTGCAAACTGTCCATATACCCCCTGGATAATTATACTCTGCTTCAGATTCCAGCTGTATTTGCAATTTAAGAGAAATAAAGAAGCCTTAAAGTTTTGCATAGTATTACTGGTGTGTGGATTTGCTGTGTTTTGCACAGATGAAAGACGCCTAGTAAAACATTTGGGATCTTCCAGGGTAAAAGACACTGCCAGTACAGTATATCAACTCTGTGCATGAAGTTCTGAGACCTTGGGAGCAACCTTGCAGTTCTTGAAGCATACGTTGCGATGTGTGAGCTGCTACTTCAAAATTGTTTTTGTTTGTTTATTGCAAGAACTGAGCACCGTGTGGTCTGCCTCAGAAAATGGATTATCCACCGACTCATAGGCCTCCTTGACAGTCAAGTAAAAAAGGAAGAGGATTTTGTGATGGAGGTTGCCAGGTAAGAAGGATTTAAAGATCACGAGTGCCACACGCTGGTGGAATAGTTCTAGCTGGCAGACTAGAATGGTACTAAGGAGCTACAAATTCTTTGTGACATGGGCAGGTTACTTAGGGCAAAACTTTCCAAAGCCTTTGAATGACTTGGGAAGCCTAAGGCCTAATGGCCAGAAGCGGGAAGTCTTGCTGAAAGCATAATCCACTAAATGCCCAAATTACTTTTGGAGATGGAAATTAGGCGCCTGAGTTATCTAGGTGCTTTGGAAATTCCTTTTCACCCCAAGAAGGCTGTCTCTAGAATCATCCAGATGCTTTTGAAAATGTTACTTCATAGATTTCATAGACATTAGGGCTGGAAGGGACCTCGGAAGATCATCGAGTCCAGCCCCCCCGCCTGAAGGGCAGGAAGTCAGCTGGAGTCATAGGATCCCAGCAAGATAAGCATCCAATTTGCTCTTGGAAGGGGTTCAATGTAGGTGCTTGAACCACCTCCGATGGCAGGCTGTTCCAGCCCTTGGGGGCTCGGACAGTAAAGAAATTCTTCCTTATGTCCAGCCTGAAACGGTCTTGCAGTAGTTTATGACCGTTCAACCTCGTCATCCCTTGGGGCGCAAACGTTCCCCCAGACACTGGTGGTCACCCCTGATAAACTTATAGGTGGCCACCAGATCACCCCTGAACCTGCGCTTTTCCAGGCTAAAGAGCCCCATGGCTCTCAGCCTGTCGTCGTAAGGTCTGTTTTCCTGACCTCTGTTCATGCGCGTGGCTCTTCTCTGGACTCTCTCAAGCTTCTCCACATCCTTTTTGAATTGTGGAGCCCAAAACTGGACGCAGTACTCCCGCTGCAGCCTCACCAAGGCCGAGTACAAGGGGAGAATGACGTCCCGGGATTTGCCTGAGAAGCATCTATGGGTGCAAGCCAGCGTTTTGGTTGCTTTACTAGCTGCAGCATCACATTGAAGGCTCATGTTCATCTTGTGGTCAGTGATGACCCCCAATTCTCTTTCTTCCGTAGTGCTAGCCAGGTTGTGGCTATGGGGGTGGTATGAAAGTCACGGGGGCACCTGAGGGGCACCCAGCATAGAGCTATGCAGAGGGGAGAGACATTAAAGGGCCTGAGCAGCATGAGAGCAGCCCAGCCTTGGTCAGGGACCCTGGGGGCGGGGATGCAAGGCAGCAGCTTAGCCAGGGCTAGGCCCAGGGGACCAGGCAACTGTTTGAGCCAGATTTGTAAAGGCTTTTAATGACCTCATCACCTTTGGGCATCCAAGTACCTTTTGAGGATCTGACCCTTTAGGTGCCTATACACAAGCAGCAAGGCTGCTCTAGTGTGCTGTAAGTACAATGTGTCGGAACAGACTCCATTAATCGAGTCTGCTGGAGCATGGTAATTACTGTGCTCCAGCAGCCTCCATGTCTGATGAGCTTTAGATAAAGCATTTCCACCACCATTTTTAAGCACGGGGGCACTGATACACAAGATGCTGCAGGCGCTTTAATTAGAGTGGCTCTTGGAGCCACCCCCGAACATGTGTATAAACATGTGTATTTGTGGCGAAATTTGGTACTGTAAACACACAGATAGTGTACTAATGATGTTGTAAGAGGTTAAAGTCCTCTGTCTTTAGGTACTTTGTGGTGTGTAGTGTATACAGGATAGGTAAAGTTTAATTGAAATATGTGAGTTGCTTAGAGATTCTTGGCTAATAAAAGCTAAATAAATGTATGGCATTTATTGTTAGCTTGCATGTAAACGCTGCTTTGTGTACATGCACCGAACCCAAGTCTTCATTCTACTTTTTTCTTTCCACTCTAGATTTTGCTTCTTCCATGCTTTCTTCATGACCAAGAAACCAACCTCTGAAATACCTGAGACAGAATCCATCCCATCACCCCCCCTGCTTGAACGATCTCGCTCAGTGGCTGCAAACTTGTTTTTCAGGTGATGAATTTGCCCGCCTACGCTTAATGTTGGCCGCTGATCCGTTTTGAGGCAAGCAGGAGCACATGGTCAAGTGAATGTCAAAAGAGTGTAATTATAATTGGCCTTTTTGCTAATTGGATCATGATTCAGCTGTGCAGCCAGAATGAGCAGCTCTTAGCTTATACCTTATGCCAGAAACACTTACCTTTTGGTGAAAAAATAAGCTTATATTTAAATGAACCTAAGAACATCTGTGGAATGTGCATGCAGATGTGTTTTTTTTTTTTTCCTCCAGTATCCCTCGAGCTGTCTTTTGTAGACCTCAGAGCTGGGTTCTTTTGAGATGCCACAGTTCACCTAGAGATGGTCAAATAGCCACTGATGGTCAAATAGCTCTTACTAGAATCTATTGACTGATAATCCCCTTGCCTGTGTTTAAGTAAAAGGAATTGGGTATTGGTTTGCACAGCACGTTTTGTCAGTATTATTACTGGGTGAGGGAAAAGAGGGGGATGCAGTGAGAGCTCTTGTTTAGCAAAGAATCCTGTGAAGCCCCTTGATGATGAAGAATGTATGGAAGGTAAGGCTTGCTGGATACGGTGCTGTGGATACAGTGCTGGCTTGGGGCGTGAATGTTGGGGTTAGTTCCTGCTTTGCTATATACTTCCTGTGTGACCTCAGACATGTCACTTCACCCCTGTGCTTCACATCCCATCTATTAAATGGGGATGATGCTTCCTTTGCCTTCTCTTATTGATCTGGAGGCTCTTTGGGGCAGGAAGCATCTCTTACTGTGTGTTTGTACAGTGGGGCCTCTAGACCCTGTCTTAATGGAGGTGGAATGATTGGAGATAACCAGGGCCATATTTAGGGTTGTATAAGGAAAAAATCTGCAAACATTTGTGAAATGGAATTCATTAAGCTACAAAGAAAATGCGCAGAACAAGTCAGAAGTATTTGGAGACAGGTTCCTCTGACTCACAACAACCATTTTGGTGTGCAGGGAACAGAAGCCAGGACAAACTGAGCAGCCCTCGTATTAACGAGGAACTTTCTACTGCCTTTTTTGCTTTGCAGCTTGCTTCAGAGTTTAAACTCTATGCCTGTCTTGGGGGACACAGCAGAAGCTGCAGCTCTGAGGGAGCGACACGTTCATGGTGTGACTGTAGATGGCAAACTCTGGATCTCTCATATTGTGCAGTATGCCAATGTCCTGCTGTCCCATGAAAAGAACGTAAAGGCTGTGACGCCCTTTACCAAGGAACAGAAGGCTGCCTGGAACCGGTGAGAGGCTGGGGAGGCAGCAGAAGTCTGGAGACTGGTCTCAGGGGCAAGGAAGGATGATGGGCATGGCAGAGAGCAAGGGGTTTGGGTAAAACTTGGGTGCTTGAGGTGCGTTTGTCACAGCGCTGAATTAGATCTGTGATTTTGGGTCATCCTGTCCTTTTGTGGCTGATTTTTAGTTTAAAGGCTTCAGTTCAGGGTGGTAATTAATATGAGGTAATGGAAGCCTTCTGCCTCTGTCAGCAACTCTGGCTGAAGCAGCCTCTGTCTGCCTGATGGTGAAGCAGAATTTCTGGTCCAAGTTCTCTCGGGACAAGAGCGGGTGCGTTTCAAGTGAGATTAGCGGAGGCTACATGTTGTAGTTGTGAAAGACTCATAGTTGTTTGTGCCGGCAGAATGTTGCAGACTGTGGAGAACCTGCAGGAGAAGGAGAAGTCTCACGGTGCAGAAGTCTTTGCTTTCCAGCAGCTCCTGCTCTTAGTTGGCATTTATCTCTTCAAGGTAATGGTGCATATCTGCTGGGCTTCCTGAACTTCCAGTGGTCATAGGTAGATGATTTCCTTGGGTTTGAAGACCTGATCTGTCAGAGCATATAGCTATTTAAATGCAGGGAACAACAGCTAAAATGGCCTGAATCCAGAATATAAGAAACATGCCAATCTACTGATACTTTAGGCTGTGTGTTCCCTTGATTTCTAAACCATTCTCTTTAAGTTGTATATCATAATCCTCATTTAAAATGCAGAGACCAAAATCTTATATTTAGACCCACTAGTTCAGGGTTTATCTCAGCCATTTTGCTGACATTAGAAATTGTACCTGCTGTAGTAGCAAGAGAGAAACAGCCTAACATTCTTGCTCTGCTTCTCTTTGTGGTCCTCCCACCTGCCATATCACTGCAGTCTGTATGCTGTGTTTCTGACTGAGTGGCATGTTGCTGATGACCAGTATGGACTCTGTGTGTGCCTGAACTACAGTGTTCATGTGCACTTTGTGCAGAAAACCAGCAAAAAATTTCCTGGTTATTAATGACTGGAAAGATAAGGGCTTTAAAATAGCTGCTTTCCTTCCAGTGTAATTCCCCATCTAAAAAGAAACCGACTATAACTGACTTAGGTGTTCTGGCTAGTCTTGTTTCCTGGTCCCCTTTCTCTTGATGCCTCCATGAGCTGGAAATGGAGATAATGGCTTGTCTGTGCACCTGACTTCCTAACAGCACCGTGTGCTAGAATTGGGAGTAGCTGGGTGTGTGTCTTAGTAAACACCTCTCAGTCAATCTTTCTGACTTATCTGTACTTCTGCTTCATATCAAACAGACTCCCACGGAAACTATGGATCTTCTGAATGACCTTCTGAGCTGCATGGAGAGGGTGTTTGACAAGAAATCCAAGAAGAAAAAGTGTGGTGAGTTTCTTTGTAAAGAGAGACTGGGGAATTATTAATAGGCAGGATTGTTTTTACGTGCCCAGAGCACACTTGGGAGCCCAACAAAATTTGGGTTTGGTCAGGCGATATGTTTACAATGGTGCAACCAGCCTTTACGTGGGTGTAAACAAGAAGTGGACAGATGGCTTAACCTAGGCTTGTCCAACATACGGCCCTCCAAGCTGTTTTCTGAGGTCCGAGGTGCTGCGATGGGAAACGAAAGTAAACACTGTACTTTTATTTCGGGGGGGTGATGTGATACCGCTTCCTGTGAGGTCTTTGAATATGGCTTGCCGGCCCACCGGGTGATAAAAAGTTCATGATCCGGCCTCACATTCAAAAAGGTTGGACACCCCTGGCTTAACCCCTGCGTTGGTGTTACAGCAGCCTGCAGATGAGGAGCTATTTCAGGAGAGCTGGTAAAGGAGCCAGGTGGTTTACATTGAACAAACAGCTACCCAAGGGTAATTCTGCACGCACACACTAAGTTACATTGGTGTTGGGCTGTACATCATGTGTCCACTTCTCTTCTGTCACAAGGCCTCTTTATAATGCATATTGAGACCCAAGTGTTATTTCCTTCCATCTTGATGCCTCTGTTTCCCATACAGATGAGGAGGAGCCAGAATGGGTGGAGGTGATAGTGGAAGTTCTTCTATCCCTCCTGTCTCAGCCCAGCCTGCTCATGCGCCGTGTCTCCAAAAGTGTGTTTGCACGCATCTGTCCACACTTGTCCAAGAGGGCCCTGCATTTAATCCTCGATGTAAGTGATACACTGGAGGAGGGGTTGTGACTGGTTGAAGTTCTGGGTGTAGCTAATTAACTGTAAGGAATTAATTAGGAATAGGGCTCAGTTGCCCCCCTCTGAACTAGGAGGCAAAGATTTTGGCTGGAGGGCCACTTAATGAGTTTTGGTGAGCTGTCAAGGGCCACAAGGGTAGCCCCATCCCTTGCGAGGTGATCCACTGCCAGGTTGCCATCTTGGGACTGGAAGTCTTGTCCCTAACCCCTAATCTTTGCTACCAGAAGTCCCTCCCCTTGCCCCCCAGAAATCCTCCTTTTGGGAGGGAAGGGTTGCCATCTCAGAATCAGAAAAAAACCAAATCATATACTAAAAGTCAAACACCTACGATAACATATTTTAATGTTATTACCAAAAAATATTTTTATCATGATTTGTGTTTGCCTAATTTATATAGAGACCGTTGCAAAATAACTAAAAAATAAAGCCTTACTCTTGTATATTGTGTGGGCAGCGTGCAGTGTAGTTGGGAGTGGGGGTGTGCGTCGGGGATTGTGAGGGTGTGTGGCTGTTTGTATGGGGGACAAAGGGCATGTTGGGGAGTGTATATGTGGGGGCAGGATGAGGGTCTGAGGAGTTTTTGGGGAGGTGTGGGGATCCCCCTACACACTCCCCATGGTGCACAGCCCCTTCTGGCGACAGCAGCAGCAGGCAGGGGTGCTCAGGGTCCTTGTGCCCAGTGTAGGTGCTGCCACTTGCATCGCATGGCTCTGGCCAGCGCTGCACATGGGAGCAAGGAACACAGCCTGGCCGGCCCGCCTCTTGTGCAGGGCTCCCCGCTGTGCATGTGCAGCTCCCGCACTTGTGCACTACTGGGAGAAGCCCCGCGCATTGGAGCCAGCTGCCTTCCCTGTCCCGTGCCATGCAGGTCCCAGGGCTCCGCTTCTGGGGGTTTCCCAGGACCTGCACAGCAGAGAGCGGCGAAGGCAGCCAGCTCCATCACGCGGAGCGTCCCCTGGTAGCGCATGAGTTGTGGGAGCTACACGTGCTCCGTGCAGAGCCCCTAGGGTTGCCAACTCTCCCGGATTGGCCGGGAGTCTACTGGAATTGGCATTGATCTCCCAGTGACTAGTGAAAGCAATCTGGGACCTTGATATTGTGAACGGGTTGAACCGTACAATTAATGACTAGAGGTGTACTGATACATTGGTCCCATATCAGATCAGCATTGATATAAGGAAAAATTGACATTATCGGCAGTTGCTTTTTTTGGCTGATGTGGCCGATAACATTGCCGACAAATGCCTTGTGCATGCACACGGGTGCAGAATGAGTAAGGCACATGGCCAGTTGATGCTGCATCTCATGAAAGCACAAAATATACCTTGCAGAGACCAACAAAAAATACTTTACGTAAGAACCTACTATATATCTCACACTAGGAATTAAAATTCACTATACATTTCTTCTGTGACTTTTTCTAACATCTTACTACCTCTGCTGTTCTTTTGGCTCTTTTATACTTACACTCTTCTGGATTTCCTTATGTAGCAGGTACAAATATGTTGATACAAGATAGATGAGTTGAATTTTTTTTTGCCTGTTTGATCCAGAGGGTCACTGTTCAGTGTCTGCAGCTTGCTGAAATCAGCTGTCTGTTGTTTCCTCTGATTGCTTAAAAGGAAAGTATCAAAATAGAATTGTCTTTTTTTTTAACAACTCCTTCACAGGTTCTTGATCCAGAACAAGATCAGGATGAAGAAAGTGCTGTTGTGGTGACTGAGGAAACAGGCAAGAAGAAACCCTTGCTGGAGGATATGGTAATTTACTTTGCATTAAATGTGCTAAATGATTGCCTGTTCCATCCCATTAAGAACAATATTACTGCTGAACTGCAGCTTTAGAAATAATGGCATTTCTCTTTCTTAATAAAGTGAACAGCTAGTTCTCTGCAATCTGAACACCTCATGGAAGTATGTAATCATTAGTCTCTTCATCCTGTTGTTAAGATACTAGTGGAGATATTTCTGTATAATTTAAATGGCTCCCAAGGGATAGCTACCCACATTGTTTCAGCTGCCACAATTGCCACCTTTTCAGTCAGTGTAAGTGGACTCTTGCATTGCAGCATCCTTTAGATACTGGAATTATGAATCTGAGAACTGCAGAGATTCAAGGGTCACAGCCCAAAGCCACAGTCATTAGCCCACAAGGACCAAAAGCCGGTTCCTTTTCTGCTGTGCCTGGAGCTTCCTCTCCCCAAAGCCTGATCTAGGCTGACTTCTTTTTGGTGAGTCTCTTATATCCTGGAATCATTCACAGAATGCACCTTTTGTAGTTGTAGTTGTCTTTCCCCTTTTACATCTGAGGCATACAGGTAGGACTGTTGGGGAAGCTGGCATGTTGTTGCTTGTGTTTTTGGAGACGCAAATTCAGACTCAAAAAATGCGCTTTACCAGAAGCAGCAGCATGTTACTTCATAGAATCATAGGATTATAGAAAATGAGGGTTGGACAGGACCTCAGGAGGTCGCATCTAGTCCAACCCTCTGCTAAAGGCAGGACCAGCCCCAACTAGATCATCCCAGCCAAAGCTTTGTCTAGCCAGGTCTTAAAAACCTCCAAGGATGGAGATTCCTCCACCTCTCTGGGTAACCTGTTCCAGTGTTTTACTACCCTTCTAGTAAGAAAATTCTTCCTGATGTCTAAGCTAAACTCCCCTTGCTGAAGCTCATCTGTCACTACTGAGAACAGTCTAACTCCATCCTCTTTAGAACCACCCTTCAGTAGTTGAAGACTGCTGTTAAATCCTTTCTGTTTCCTCTTCTCTAGACTAAATACGCCCAGTTCCCTCAGCCTCTCCTCAGAAGTCATGTGCCCCAGCCCATGAACCATTTTTTTTACCCTGTGCTGGACCCTCTCCAATTTGTCCACATCCTTTCAGTAGTGGGAGCCCAAAACTGAACGCAGTGCTCCAAATGTGGCCTCACTAGTGCTGAACAGAGGGGTATAATCATTTCCCTTGATCTGCTGGCAACACTCCTACCAATGCAGCCCAGGATGCCGTTAGCTTTCTTTGCAACCAGGTCACACTGTTGGCTCATATCCAGCTTATTGTCCACTGTAACCCTCAGGTCATTTTCTGCAGAGCTGCTGCCCAGCCAGTCAGCCCTCAGCCTGTACCAGTGCGTGGGATTGTTCTGTCCTAAGTGCAGGACTTAGCACTTGTCCCTGTTGAACCTCATGAGATTTCTTTTGGCCCAATCCTCCGATTTGCCTAGGTCACTCTGAATCTTACTCCTACCCTCCAGCATACCTACTACTGCTCCCGGCTTGGTGTCATCTGCAGACTTGCTGAGGGTGACTCTATGCCATCTTCCAGGCTGTTGATGAAGATGAAGACATTGAATAAAACTGGCCCCAGGACTGTCCCATGGGGCACTCCCCTTGATACCGGCTGCCCGCTAGACATTGAGCCATTGATTACTACTCTCTGAGGCCAATGCTCCAGCCAGTTTTCTGTCCACTTTACAGGCCATTCATCCAGCCTATACTTCCTTAGCTTGCCTACGAGAATGATGTGGGAGACCGTATCAAAAGCCTTGCTAAAATCAAGGTATACCACATCCACTGGTCTCCCCACATCCACAGAGCCAGTCACCTTGTCATAGAAGGCAAGCAGGTTGGCCAGTCGTGTCTTACCCTTGTTGAATCCATGCTGGCTGTTCCTAATCACCACCTTCTCCTTCAAGTGTTTAGAAATGGATTCCTTGAGGATCTGCCCCAGGGTTTTTCCAGGAACTGAAGTAAGGCTGACTGGTGTGTGGTTCCCTGGATCTTCCTTGTTCCCTTTCTTAAATATGGGCACTATGTTTGCCCTTTTCCAGTCACCTGGGGCTGCTGTTATTCATGAGTTTTCAAAGATGATGGCCAATGGCTCTGCAATCAAATCAGCCGACTCCCTCAGCACCTTTGGGTGCATCCCATCCGGCTCCATGGAGTTGTGTATATTCAGCTTTTGTAAATAGTCTCTAACCTGTTCTTTTGCCACTGTTGGACCTCATGAGTCTGCTTCCCAAAATGTGTTGCCTGGTGCAGTAGTCTGGGAGCTGGCCTTGCCTGTGAAGACTGAGGCAAAAAAGGCATTGAGCATTTTAGCCTTTTCTACATCCTCTGTAACTAGGTTGCCTCCCCCATTCAGTAAGGGACCCACACTTCCCCTGATCCTCCTGTTGCTACTGACATACTTGTAGAAACCCTTCTTGTTACCCTACACATCCCTTGCTAGTTGCAACTCCAGTTGCGCTTTGGCCTTCCTGACTTTATCCCTGCATGCCAAAGTGATGCTCGTATACTCCTCCCTATTTATTTGTTCAAGTTTCCACTTCTTATAAGTTTCCTTTTTGTGACTTGGCTTACTGAAGAGTTCCCTGCTAAGCCAAGCTGGTCTTCTGCCATACTTGCTAGTCTTCCATCTGGATGCTTTGTTCCTGAACTCTCAGTAAGGTTTCTTTAAAGTACAACCTGATCTCCTCTCCCCCTTAGACTGGCTTCCCAGGGGATCCAGCCCATGAGTTCCCTGAGCGAGTCGAAGTCTGCTTTTCTGAAGTTGTGGGTCCTGACTCTGCTGTGCTCCATCCTTCCTTTCCTCAGGATCCTGAACTAAATAATCTTGTGGTCACTGCTGCCCAAGTTCGCATCCACTACTACATTCTCCACCAATTCTTCCCTGTTTGTCGGCAGCAGGTCAAGAAGAGCATGGCCCCTAGTTGGCTGCTCCAGCACTTGCACCAGGAAGTTGTCTCCAACACTCTCCAAAAACTTCCTGGATTGCCTGGGCACTGCTGTATTGCCCTCCTGGCAGATGTCAGGGTGATTTGAAGTCCCCCATGAGAACCAGGGCCTGTGACAGGGAAACTTCCGCTAGCTGTTTGAAGAAAGCCTCATCCACCATTTCCTCCTGGGTTAGTGGTCTATAGCAGACACCCACCATCACATCACATCACATCACCCTTGTTGCTCTCCCCTGTAACCTTAACCCAGAGACTTTCAACAGGCCTGTCTCCAGTTTCATACTGGAGCTCTGAGCAATCATATGGCTCTTTTATATAAAGTGCAACTCTTACTCTTCTTCTCGCCTGCCTGTCCTTCCTGAACAGTTTATACCCATCCATGGCAGTGCAGCAGTCATGTGAGCTCCCCACAAGTCTCTGTTATTCCAGTCACGTCATTGTTCTGTGACTTCCCGTTCTTCCTGCGTGTTTCCCAGGCTCCGTGCATTTGTGTACAGGCACCTGAGGGTAACTAGTCTGTTGCCCTGATTTGTAAGGAAGTGTGAGAGCACCTCCCTTGTTGCCCCTTCCTGCTTGCTTTTCCTTCAGGTCTCCTGCTTCCCCACTTACCTCGGGGCTTTAGTCTCCATCCCCTGACTGCAGCAGGTCTGCAGCAGCTGTAAAGATTGGGCACTTCAGTGGGGCTTTTTGGTGCTTTAAGCTAAAGCTGATTCAATCAGTTATTGGATAAAAGTGCCAAAAAGGCCCCAGTAAAGCACCGGGTCTTTACAGATGCTGCAAAGCCGGGTTGAAGTAATGCGCTACCTCTTCTGGACATGTGCAGGCTTGGCACAGGAACGCACTGAGTTTAAAGCGCCGTTGTAGTTGGGTTTTTTTGTCTGCTAGCACCCTGAGATTGTTGGTCCTGCACTTCTCTGAAACCATATATCTGCGTGCCCATCCTTTACTAGTCAGTGGGCAACACTGTAGACTAAGAGAGATGCTGTGGATGACATTGTCCTTTCCTCTCCATGTTAGCCTGAAGAAAACTGTCTGCAGAAAGCAAAGTTTCATAAGGTTGAGGTGCAACTTTGGGGTGGGTTGGGGTGGGGGGTGACATGCAAGTCAGATGCTGGGGTTCACTGCCTTAAGTTTAATGCATGATGCATGTAGTGGAGGAGGCTGCTCGCAACTGCGAGGTAACACTTGGCTTCCTGAGGCCTTTCTGAACAGCGATGTGTCTCCCATCCTCAGGAGGGAGTGGAGGCCTTAATGAATTGGTAATTGTTTGAAATCGACTTTCCTGGCTTGCAGAATAAAGCAGCAAGTGCAGATTCTTCAGATGAAGACAGTTCTGAGGAAGAGGAGGATGAAGAGGAAGATAGTGGAGATGAGGAGAAGACCAGTGACGAAGTAGATGAAAACTTCCGAAAGCAGCTGATGAATGTCCTACAAGCAGGAAATGCTTTGGTAGGTGATGCAAGGCCAGCAAGATAATACCTGCTTAGGAGGGCATGGAGGCAGGCTGGGTAGAGTATGTTGGAGCAATACACAGTCATCCCTCTTCCTTTCCAGGCCATGAGACTCCTGATCCAGTCATCCTTTTATATGCATTTGAAACTTACAGCTAGGCTTTCAGAGGGGGTTAGGTATTTACATCCTGCTGAAAGCCTGTGAGACTGGGGCACTGAATTCTAATTTTGAGCCATGGGCTTGGATTTGCAAGCTTGTGTCTTCAACTAGCATTTCTCAAGCTGGTGTGTGTAGTATACTCATGCAGATGTGCAGCAAACTTCTAGAGGGTCCATGAGAGGAAGGGAAAGGGGACTGCCAATCTTTGCAGAGCCAAAGTTTAAACTCATCTCCACATTGACACTTCTCTCTGGTGCCACTGCTAGCTGTCTCTCCTAGTTTAGTTGGGGTGGCAGAGACTCTTCTTAGCTTTTAGGCTTGAACTCAGAGGAATTGCAGTCATAGGTGGTGGAGGAAAGGGGTCACATACGTTAAAACAAACGGTGACGTGCATTTAATTTCAAACAAAAAAAGGGAGGAGATGAGAGTGACGAGGATGTGGATGATGAGACCATGATGGCCCTCGACGAGAACCTCTCGGCCCTCTTTGCTGAGCAGCAGAAGCGGGTCCAGGCCAAGAAGGATGAGCGAGACAAGATGCGGAAGGAGAAAATCTTACGGAGGGATTTTAAGATTAAGGTAGGAGGCAGCTGGCCAACATTGGTCTTCACAGCCTGTTCTTGGAGAGTAAGGTGTATTTTACTGTGTGGAATAAGCTGGTGAGGAAACTTTGCAGCTTAAGCTTGCATTAAACTGTGAGTCCCTTGAGTTAGGGACTGTGTTTATTCTGAGTTTGTATAGCACTTCATGCTCTGTGATGGTAGCCCATGACGGGCTTCAGGGCGCTACTGTGAAGGCTGAGATTTTGAGTGGTGAGTGATGATTCTGAACCCTGTTAACTTTTATGCATCCAATTGGAAACCTCTTTAAAAAACCAGCCTGCTTTTGCAGCGGGTAGATACTTGGCACTGTTTAATGTGCTGCTTTTTAAGGCACCCAGAATCATTTTAGCAGCCCCTTGGCATCAGCTTTCATGCGTTTCAACTTAAAAAAAAAATTAAGATCTTGGAGACTGAATTCTGCATTAGGGGGTGAGGGGAAAAGAGTTGTTCTGTTGTGAGGAGCTGGGACATCTCTGTATCAATGCAGTTAACATGTGTGGGGTTTTGTTTCTCTTCTCTCCTTAGTGTTACTGTGATCCCTTTGTACAACCAACTGCGTGTCTGAGCTTGTATTAACATACATCAACTATGTAGCCATGCAGTTACCATGCACAGGGTCCTATTCTGTCTTCCAACTCTACAAAGCCATGTAAATAACCATAGCTTTTATCATTTTGTAACCACTAGATGTCAGCATGGCTTGTAAAAGGATTTGAGATTTCCTGAACTGTTTCATCTGGTGAAACCACCCCTTAGCAGTAACTTAGAACTGTTGTCAGACCAACCAGGACAAAAATTTCCCTGGTTTTATGCGTTATGTCAGTCATACCCAGCAGTGTGTTAACATTACGTTGGCATGTAGGTCTGGGAGTTGAAGGGCCATGTTTTCAGCTGGTTGAAATCATTGATGTCATCTGAGTTCTGCCGCCAATTGTCGGTAGCACAGAGACCTGTTACCATTACTTCTTGCAGAGTAATGTCAAATGCACATCCAGCTGAAACCAAACGTAAGGCTTTCTTCCATCTCATTTGGTTTCATTCATTTTAGAAATTACAGGTACCAGTAGTACGTGTTCAGTTTTCTGATGGAAATGGGAATTGCCAGGCTGGTGGGTGCCCCCTTTCAAGTTGATGTGTGGAGGGAGATGATCCTGATTGGTCCAGGTGGTTTGTGATACCTGGTCTCTGTGGCTTCCCACCTGAACACTGAGCTGTCTCTTTAGGTGCTGGACCTCATTGAGGTGTTCCTTACCAAACAGCCTGAGAACCCCCTGGTGTTTGATACCATCGAGCCTCTTCTCTTGGTGATTGAGCAGACCATGAGCAGTGATTCTGACAAACAGGAGCAAGATTTCCTCCAGAAAACCGCCAATATTTTCACGTAAGTGTCTGGACTACTGTGGCTTTTAAAGCCCTTGGGCTCCCCTTCTTGCCCTTGGCTCCTTCTAAGATCAAAGGAAATTGCCAAAATTGGATCAAGCTTTCCTTTGACTTGCACGTGATCGGGAACAAGAGAACCCTGATCCATTTTTAGCCTCTGTCCTCCAGGCTTCCCCCACTGGAAGAGCTCAAGTGCAAAACACGGCGGGTGAAGGTGAAATCCCTCATAACATATGGTCACCGTTACGAGCTTGATCCTGTGCCACTAAAGTCCATGGGAGATTTTCCATAGACTTCAGCAGGCACTGCGTCAGCACCTAGGTGTGACAACCCACCAGGCTTACAATCTGCTTGGACTAGAGTGAAACCGCCTGACAATTTACTCTGGTTCTAAAGGGCCATGGAAATCTTACAGCTGTCCTGGTGACAGCCATGCTGCTGCTGGCAGGTTGTGCGGTTGGATGGGGAGAGCACTAAGTTGTGTTTTTTTTGGTGATCTTTCAGTGAAGAATCTCACTCTGCTGCTGGAGGTTATTTTAAGAAACGTGCTATCCTCGTAGGGGAGGCACGTGGGACTGACGCATTCCTACGGGCTCAGCCTGCTGGCCTTAGCACAGCCTGCGTGGTGGGGGACAGTGTTTTCATGAGAAGACTCTTTGTACGGGGAAGCAAAACTGTGAGATGGGTTGGGTGGAGGGGAAGGGCGAGGGAGTGTGTTAGGATTCATTAAAGAGCAAGGGGATGGGCTGATAGTGCAGCCTAGAGCTAGGCATGATGTGCCATGTGCAGTATGTGGCAGTCCATCTTCCCTTCCACAACTCCGCTTCTGAGCACTTCTACCCTGAACTGCTCTTTTGCCTCCAAGATCACTGCTGGGGCAGAGAACAACTGTGCAGGGCTGTTGCCCTAACTACATTTGAAGCCACCAGATTCATTTAATCTACAGGCTAAAGGAGAATTGCCAGTGTGAACAGCTGCTCTGCAAGCAGCCATCATTAAACTGAAGCTGACCATCCATTTCCTCTTGCCATAGCACTCGCTGCTTCTCTGCTGCCTGTGTTGTTACCCAGCAGTGAGCTATATGCTGGGTAAGCCTGGGTCCTCCCAGCAAGTTGCTCAGAACAGACTTCCTAGGTAATGGCCTTGAATTCTTATTGTGTCGGCTGGAACGCTGTCTTTTCAGGAACCACTTGTGTCGAGCCAAACAGTATTGCAAGAGTGTGGGTGACATGCAGGAGCACTTGCACACCCTGATGGACAGCCTGCTGAAGAGAGCTTGCAAGCATAGTGACTCCTCTGTGGCACTCTACTTCTTCAGGTGGGTAACAAAGCAGGAGCCCTCTTCATATTTAGAGGCTTTGTTTAAGGAGCAGACATCTGAGCTGACAAGGTCTGAACTACATTTACTGCTGGTGTATGTGGGAGCAGCTCCATCACCTTTTAAAGGAGTTGGCTTTCCATGCATAAGGTCTTTTGCTTTGTGCCTGAATGCCATGAGCCACCTAGCATGGCAGTGGGAGGGTGAAGCCAAACTGAGGCACCTGGCAGTGGAGATCCCAGGATCACTGAGGTGGCTGGCCTTCCCAGGGTGAGGCCTGTCCTTTGCTCTCTGGGCAGGCTAACCCCTGAGTATTTCCCCAGTGCAGGAAACTTGACTGCATAATTTTGTGGTAGCGGGAAACTGCATTTGTGCTTTCTCCCTGGCTTGCTTTTTGGCCTTGATTCTGGTTGGTCAGGGTGAGAGCTAGTGTAGCTTCAGGCTTGGTATCTATCTGCAGCAACTGTTCTGTATGCACCTTGGTGGCTTGTTCCCCATCTGCATTTCACAAGGAAATGCACTGAGGATGCTTAGCTGCCCTATGCAGAAGGAAGCTAAAATGTGTGATTGGTGGCACTTGCTTCTCAGCTCTTTAGTGCAAGGGGGCTAGGACCTTCCCCAGTAGTGCTAATGCCCGTATGAACAACGGACGTCCCTGGAGGCTGGGGAGGGGCACGGTGACCACGCGGAGCCGGGGGTGTGGCAGCAGGGAGCTCCTGCAGATGGCTGCAGCAGTGTTGGTAGCAAGGGGTGGGGGTTGCGAACGCCAACTGGTGATCGACGACCCCCTGCAGACGCTGCCAGCAGCCAGTGGTGATCAGCGACTGCTTGCAGATGCTGCCAGTGGTGTGTGTGGGGGGGGGCGTTGGGTTAGCAGTGACCACCTGCAGCTGCCACTGGCAGCATCGACAGTGCTTCTCCCAGGGGGTGCACCACCGATCTCAGGGGGTGCATGTGCACCTGTGGACACCCTGTACACATCACCAGTGAATGCCCGTGTGGCTTTTCTTCTCTTTCCTGTCATGCCAAAAAATGTATGTCACATCATATTGGTTCCTTCCCATCCCTGATCCTCAGTAATGCCACCTGTAAACGAGGATGCCTTGACTAAGTGCCATGGGTACGGTTGGCATTGGGTATGGTTCACCTTTTACAGTCTCCCTCCCCCTGCCCCCTATGCTCCCTCCCCATCCATGGTATCCATTTGGTGCCTCCATCTTACATTTGGACTGTAAGTTTTTTAGGGTACTGGGTATTGCGCTGCTGTAGGAAGAGAGTGTTTGGAAGTGTTACCCCAGTGCAAATGCAAGTGGCAATCAGGGCTCTGTGATTAGCAGGGATCCTGGTTTTCCTTGATTAAAAAAAAAATCACAAATTCTGTAATAAAACCCAGAATCCATGATTAAAATTTAAATGCACATGGTATATGCCTAAGCGCCCTCTTCCCGCTCCCTCCCAGCCCCTTGGAACTCTGCCCACCTGCAGAGGGCTTGCTGCAAAATCTGTGGGTTTCTCTGCTAAACTGAGAAATCCACCTTTTACTCCAGTTAAGGAGGGAAATCCGTGTTTTACTATGGTTTTTTCCTGTGGGAAATGGAAAACCCAGATCCCTGGTGATTAGTCTTAGGTGGAAGGTCTGGAGCCAAAACAGGATACCACTTGATATGGGAGTCGGTCAAATACACAGTGTATTGGACTAAGGCAGCCCCTGCAGACCTGTTCGTGGTACTCCTTGGTATAGAAAACTGGGCACAGCTACTTGCTTGCCCTATCTGACATATGGCCTGCTTGCTAGTTCCTGAAGACGCCAGACTGCAAGTACCTGGATACTGGCGTTTGGACCCTCCAGTCGGCACAGCCCTCCTCCCTATGTTTTCTGTTCCAGTGCCTCTCTGTACCTGTTCAAGGTATTGAAAGGAAATGTGGCCAGTGAGGCAGCAACTCCTTTTTCAACAACAAAAAAGAAGCTGAAGAGCAAAGAAGGGCCCTGTGACCAAACGGACCAGGTAGGAGAGCTGGCTCCTGGGTTACATGGCACCATAGGGGTGGGACTCCAGGCGGGCTTGTACTGTCAGATTGTTCTGTTTCATGGCTGTAATCATGCTGTTTTCTGCCGGTGACCTACCCCGTCTCTTCCAGAGGTGCGCTCGCCCCCCTTCACCCTCCCTAGTTCTTCCCTTTGGTGCCTGCCTGTCCATCCAGTGCCTGCTTGCAATTAGTCTTCAACAGTCACTAGGGGGTGCCAGCACTCATCAAATCCAGGCTACTTGGGTAATCCTCCTGACTTAGTCCAGAAAGTGATGCTGCTAAACGTAGCTTGTTCTCAGACAGCCCCACCCTGTTGCCTCTTCCCATTTGCTCCTAGCCTTTTTCTAGGGGAAGCAATGAGGAACAGCTGGTGGTAGCAGACTAGAGACCTCGTGTTATTTCTCATGTCTTAAGAGGCTCCATGTGACTATCTGACACTACGCCACAGGCTCAGGGTAAGCAGCCAGGCGGGAGGAGAACCTGAGCATGCTGGTATTCCTTTTGGATAGTAGTCATACCCGGGCAGTCTCTATGTTAGACTCATCCTTAGATCTGGGTTTCCATCTGCCCATCCCAAACAGCCACGTGTGGCAGCCTTGCTGCATAGTGCCCTCTTCCCCCCTCTCCTGTGCCCTTGTTGAATTGCAAATTACATGGTCTCTGAAGTCAGAGCACTGGTGAATGTGGTTGCTTAGCACAGCTACCCTGGCATTTCCCCTAGGAAATTTCGCAGGGGATGGCTACCAAACCCAGATTATTTACCTAGGTGTCTCCTGCCTTGAGTCATGGAGGAGGATCAGCCTTCTTCCACCTAAACGTGTCTTGCAATTACTGTCTTAATCCCAATGGCATTTCAGTGAAGGAAGAAAGCAACAGGTCTGCGTAATATGTTACCTTATTCACACACAGGGGAGGGTTCAGAAACTATAAGCAATGAGATAGTATTTGCTTTTGGAAAAATACCCAGGATTTTTTAAGGCTTAATGAGAGTCTGAAAGGATTAATCCTATTTACTCATTGGGCAGGTATGTCTGTTCTGTGCCAGTCCTTCCTGGTATGAGAACCAAAACACAAGTATGGTGCATACTTGTAGAAAGAGTATCCAGAACATGGGGTTGGGGTGATGGGAAGCTATGTTGAGTTGCACAGAGAAACATATTACTGATGCAGGGGTATGGCTACACTCATACATGCAGCTCAGATCAGCGCTTACCTGGCATTGGAGCAGCATATGAAATTAATGACTGGGTCAGAACTGCTGTCCCAGCAGAATAGGGGAGCCCTGTAGGGGCCCAGAGAGCAGGTTATGTGAGGCAAACGCACAATAGGTGTTATCGCACCAGGAGAGCGCACAAAACACCAGCAGACTCGCCCTATGCCTGAAGAAGGTGTTTGTGCCTGAAAGCTTGCAAAGAACAATTTTTCCAACTATTCAGTTGGTCTAATAAAAGATATCACATTTACCCAAAGAACTTTGTCTGCCTATGTCCTTAGACCCACATGGCTACAACCGACACCTCCAATAGTATTTGACATGCATGATCTGAAAAGTCCAGCAAAGTGGAGCTAGAGCACAGCCTAGAGTGGCCAAATGTAGGAAGAATCCAGTGACGAGAAGTAGTTTTACCTGAGAGAGAACTAGGATGTTAAGGACAAGATCTGTTATCTTGTTTCTGATAGAGACACGTCAAAGCTTTACTAAATACAGGCAGTTCATTATGAGACCTGAGTTTTTAATACCAGATTCTGAACTCTGCACCACTTCAGATTAAACTAGCTGGTGCTGGAACAGAGAAGGCACCTGGCCTACATATGGGAGCCCAGTGTTAACCTGGCTCTGCCACTAATCTGTGTTGTGGCCTGGGCAGGTCACTTGGACAGGGATTTTCAAAGGACTCTTCAGCTAGTTTGAAAATCACCGCGAGAGAGAGTGAGTAAGGGGGTTATGTGAAAGTTCCCTACCTGTATGAAGGGAAATGAGGAAGGTTTAAAATCTATACAGTGGCTGTAGAGGAGCTGTACCTCATTCAGTGCAAAAAAGGTGGTCTGTCCAAGGCTGGGCATTGCATGCCTTGCACGCTTCAAACTTGCAGGATTTGGGATGAGGGGTAGTAAGAATATGCAACACTGAGGATGCAGTAGGTTTGGAACTGGCACCTAAATTTAGCCAAGAGCATTACGTTCTGCAAATGTTAACGCGTGCTTCCTGATGCAGTGGTATTAATAGAATTGCTCCATTGTTACTGATTCATCCTTTTGCTTTATTTGCTGTTTTTTCCAGCCTTCTGGCACAGGCGTTCTGGACCTGGGGAGGGTGACTGTGATGTATCAGGAGGCACTGAGTGGATTCTTGACAAAGCGCAACTGTGCCCTCACAGGCTCCATGTATCTTGATCTCTTCAACCGTTTCCCGGTAAGCATTGCTAGAAGCAGGAGGCCCTGTCT